GTGGCAACCCTACATATGCACATTGTAAATATGAAAGTATTACCGAATACCATCCAAATTTGTAGACGGCTGAATGATCATTGTTCCCTGATGATCTGTTCTACCTAGCAAATAATACCTTGTCCTTCTGTATGCTTTCTCATCTACGTGGCTCTTCAGTGGGTTGAAAGATGCCAAGGAGCAGGTCAACCTGGCAGTTTGTGTGCCCACTCTGGCATCTGATAATGTCATGAATGGAAGGAGAAGTGTTCATAACCATCAAGAAGGACACAGGTGGGAAAGGCAGAATAAATATGCTATCGGACGGTGTTGCATGGTATGACATGCAGACTGTAAGCAAGAGTTTCTCTGTATTTAGGCCAAGAAGTGTGTTGGTTCAGGTTTTGCTTGGAATCGATGTGACGAGGAGGAATTTTCAGTCCCTTTTGCAAACACGATGACCAATTCTGTTCCTCGTATGTTTGCAGGGGATGCATTGGGGACAGGTTCTCCTAGCGATATGCAACGGCCAGCAACTGGCAATAGGACTTGCTGCCACTTAATTTCTGCTTTCCTGAAGAAGACTGAGTGTTTCTTTTAGAGTATTTTTAAATTACTAAAATAGTAAATGGGTGGCTGTGAGTCTGAGATGGAAAATACTGAGCTCTATACTGTAATCTGATGGACTATAGACTGAAATCCAGGCTCTGTAGTATTCCCACACATGGATGAAGTTCAAACTTGCCTCCTACTGATGAATCTGCTTGAGATGTCCTTTGTAGCAGCTGAGAATTCTCGGTAGTGGCATGTATGACTGCTGGTGTGTCAGCCTTTTCTGTTATAAGACACTGGATTGCCATGAGGGGATGTCAGAGGTCTGATGCAAGACGTTTGCCATTTTTAGGTACTTGGAAATCCATGTGCTGCTAGTTGATACTTTACATAAAACGATAAGAAACTACAGATAGTGTTTTTTAGAATGTAAACCTGAACCTTGGGATGAGCTGATATTTTCTAATGACAATAGCCATGTGTATTATTATTTGATTCTTGGCGTCATTTGTAATTACAAACTTGAAAGCAGACCTGAACTCAAAGTTGGAAACGTTAGGGAGAGTAAGGATTGTGAATAAACTTGTCGGCTGTAATAATGCAGATATTGGCATGCTAATGTTCCATGCCCTGTGTCATGAAGCCTGCATTGGGCCACAGGAGTTCTGGACTACCATTGTGAAGGTTCACTGTTTGCTTCATCGGCACCACATCAGCTTTAGGTCATGTGATACGGAGATTGCAGTATGTCCCTAGTATGCCGGTATTATCTTTATATAGCGCCAACAATTTACACAGCACTTTACATACTGCACATCACATCAGTCCCTGACCTCAAGGAGCTTACCATCTAAGATCCCTATCTCACATGCATACATACAAGGGTCAGTTTAGACAGGAGCCAATTAACCTTCCAGCATGTCTTTGGAGTGTGGGAGGAAACCAGAGTACCCGGAGGGAACCCACGCAAGCACAGGGAGAACATGCAAACTCCTTGCAGATAGTGATTGTATACACTGTAACTCCTTTACCACCCTTCCTTCTACCTCCTTCAATATTTGCAGCAGACCACAATCTTGCTTTGATACAGTATTATGTTCTGTTTATTTAAGATTCTAGTCCCAAATCAGCATGATTTACAATGTAATTCATTTTTCCAGGTTAAGGATTAAGGTTTGCAGATTAGTCTATTATGTAGTTATTTTATAGTTTCTCCTAATCCTTAGTGGATATCTCGATTACCTGTTTAAAGTCCAGTAGTAATCAGGGAAAACATCTTTCCAGTGACAGCCATAGATGAGTCTGTGTTAATGATATTTACAAATTTGTGCCATCACTGCTATATGGCATAGTTGGGGATGGGATGATCGTCATCACTAGAAAACATTTCACAAAGGTTGGAGTTTCTTTTCTAAGCTGCTGGGCTTCCAAGCTGTCCCAGGACACAGAAAGGCGGAACAGTCATTCATACAGCTATAAGGTTGTGGTTGGGCTAAGTGGCCAAACCTTCTTCACTCCGTCTTTGGCAATTCTAGCGTTGGCCTAAAACAACCTCCACTAAATTGGCCAATAAATCAATGGAAACCAGACCATTATTGGTGAAAATATTAACTCCAGTTGGACTGATCCCAGACATGTTCTTATTACATCCCTGAATGCTTGTTCTGATAACTGGATACATCACCTGGAGGCTTTATAGTTCTTTGCTGGCCTGAACACTGATGGACTTTGAATAATGCATTCAATCTGCAGGAAATGGGGGCTGCACGTGTGAAAAGCAAATATAGTTGCATAGAGTAGAAGTATAATAACTTCAAACCTTAGGGTTTTGTGAGTTTTTGTTGTCTTGGATCCATGCCCACCCAAATTTATTGCTAATATAACATTCTTAACTTTAAAAATCTTCTTGTTTGCCTTGTTTAGATCCTTTTATATTTTGTATTCTTTTTGCAGCCTAATGGTCGCCCAGTGGAGCTTGCTGAAGAAGAAGTGATTGCTCCAGTTAAAAAGGAGAGTCCAAAGCAGCCACTTGATGCTGACAAGAAGAACGAGAAGGTGACTTCCTTGTGTAAAAGTGCTAAATATTCATTCATTTCAGTCATTAAATATACACCAAATATTGCAGAATGCAAACAAACAGATTCCTTTTAAGTATCTTAATGAGCAGTTCCGCCCACTCGATAAGGCTGCTGCATCCTGCTGTGATGTGTCTGTAAATAAAATTAGCATTAATTTGCATGTCCAATTATAGCAGGCTTGGCACAAAATGCGGAATTGTTTAATGACTGACTGTCGAAAGCTGAACTGTTATAAGGATGTGAAATGCAGTTTCTTCTTTACAGTAACCCCGTGTTTTGCCCACTTAAAGTCCCCTCGCTGATAATCTTCCGTTCATTTGCCTGAAATGAAGACACATAGCCAGTACTTGGGTTATAGGGAGCATATGACTCCTTGTAAACTCTAACCTGAGGAACTTGGAGCTTGCACAGCTATATAAAAGCAGCTCAGGAGGGGCTCACAATTGGGGCTGAAACAACTAATCAATAAAAATCGATGAGAATCGTCAGCGATTCTCATTATCGATTAGTTGATTTTTCAAATAGTTGCTGCTGCCGTCTCGCTGCTTCACCTTTCTCCTCCTTGCTGGGACCCGCTGTTGTCTGCGTCTCCTTCAGTTAGAGGGGACACAGAGTTCTGTAGCCGGCACCCAACGGTGGTAGGGACCGCTGTGCCTCGGCATTCCCCTCATTGCCGTGCCCTGTTCCTCCTCTGTTGACGTGCCCTGTATCGCCGCTGCCCGTTCCTCGTCTGCTGGCTCCGCGCCCCCTCTTCTGCCGGTGGTATAAAGCCGGCGTCAAGTTTCTTCAACGGCTGGGAGCAATAGCCAGCCTGATATTGGTTATTTTAAATTGCAATAGCAGGTTGGCTATTGCACCCGCCCACTGCCTGCTGTCAATCAGGAGAAGCTTAAGGGCCCTTTCACAGCTGACCATTGTGATGTGATCTATTAAAAATGCACATTGTGTTTAAAGCAAACCATTTATTTTGTATGGACTGCCAATGCTCCACAGTGCAATAAAGACTTGACCTACAGCAATATATTTGATTGCATTTTTATTCATATGTTGTGGCAATGCAGGTTTGTAGGCCCCTACTGTGCTTGTGTATAGGGCTACCATACGGAATGAACGGCAAGGCAACACACCACATGAATTGGCGTGCCTTAGTGCAATGCATAGATGTGAAGCCGGCCCAAAACAGCTTTTGGAATGGAATCTGCTGACTACATACACAAACTGTTAAATGATGCCTTTGTTCTGGAGTCAAACATAATTTCTAAACTTTGCTACATTGTTTTTTGTTTTTTTAGGTAAAGAAGAATAAAAAGAAAGCAAAGGCTGATGGGAAACAAACTCAGTCACCTAGCCAGGATAAAAAGGAAGCAGAGGAAGGTAAACAATACATGTCATTAGTCTCTATTCTCTGTATATGTCGCTCACTAGATATTGAAGAATTCACCTAACTTTTGCTGTAAAGGTGATTTGTGAGCAAAGGAACACATAGTATTAAATAAAATGTTTAAATATCTGTCTGTGTATATTGCTACAGTAACAATATATAAAGCCGATTTCCTTCAAACCAATGCAATGTTTGCCGATGCTGACGAGTTGTTTCTGCAAGTCTCAAGGGTGGGAAAGCTGAGATACCATGCTCCAACCCTAACAACAGCAACACCAAATTAAAGTATCACTAAACCCTTGTGTAAAAACCAATGTGCTAGTTAATTAGAATATGTACACCCATCTGAACCATTTATTCCACAGTATAAGCTTGCCAAAGGGTATTTTCAATTGGTGAATATGTCTTCTGCCTGGCAAAAATGAATACTTGCCAAGTGAATGAACAATATATTTCCGTATAATCATGGGCCTGTGCACTGGTCGCCTCATACGAAATATCACATGTTTACTTGGGCCGGCCTGTAGCAAACCACATGCATTCCCCCCCATTTCTGAAGGAATCGGCGTGCTTTAGTGGATGGAGGAGGCTCTATTCATCGGCACTGGCTGAGTCGGCATGTAGTATTGTACCCACATTAAGGTACTATACATTAGGACTATGTACCAGGTAGAGCTAGCAAAGCCATCCATGTGAAAAAGGAAGCGCAAGTTTCAAATATTGCAACCATGTACTTATACGTACAGGCTACAACCATGGCTAATCAAATATATTTATATGTGTGCTGTATAAGGTAAGGGAAACTAATTAT